GAGGCTTGACCATGAGAATTACTCGGGGTACTTAGCCTCAACTTAGTCTCCCAGAGGCAGAGTGTGGGAAATAGCACCTCGAGTAGCACAGATAGGGTGGCAGAGGTCAAGTGAAATACTTGAACCAGGGAGATAGCAGACGGATCCTATGGAGCAGGATGGAGACCTTGATAAGACCTATAGGAGGACGACTGCGGAACAATATGGCAGACTTTGATCAACATTCCCAGCACAAGGGTGAAGAGGGGTGAGGGGATGAGAAAGCCAGGATGAGGTATGGAGAGTTCTCATGAAATCCGCTCAAAAGGGCACACCATACCACATTTAAATAAGTAAGTAAAGAATTGTGATAGTGAAGAGTTGTTACGAGGATATAGGATTGATGATTAGTCCAAGGCAGAAGAAGAGATACCACGATTGTTTAGTAGACAATTGGTGAAAGGATCGGCTTCACTTGTCTCTTTTGACGGGTTGTCGTGTGCTGCTAAGATTGGCAATGCTCACTGACGATGCCGACTACGATGCCACCGGAATGTCTGGAAATGTACCACGTCCACTGTCCGACTCTGGAAATTATCATTCATACTATGTATTCCTGACAAGGTGAGTTCCTCTAGGTCTTTCAACCAATATGACTAAGTTCCGAAAACAAGTTTAAACAACTTCTATATGCCAAATTGTCCGTTAGTCAAAAAATGTCTGCCTGGATGCTTGCAGATCCATTCCCAATCGTATATATATGCTTGTCTAGCTTTATTTATCCCATCGTGTTTGCATGCCTTTCTGTCTACCTGTCACTACGGGCTTCTCAACAATCTTATACTTGTCCTTCTATCTATTTTCATGTCCGCTTTCCTGTCTATATTCCTACCAGCCTGTCTGTAAGCCTTTTAGTTTATCACTCTGTTTCAAAGCGTGCACCTTTGTACCTGTCTTTTTGAATGGCTTTTTCGGCTGTTTGCTGCTCTCTGTCTGTATCTTTATTTGTCCGTCCTATAATCCACCCATCTCTCTATCTATCTGTATTTCCATGTCCTCCTTTGTGTCAGACATTCTATTAGTCTCTATATTCGTAACTTTCTATCTATATCTTTTTGCTTGTGGCTCTACTTTCATTTTTTGTACATAAGCAGATTTTCGAGACTACCAGCATTCTCTTTGCATATCAGTCCAATAATCTTCTAATCTACCTGTTTACTTAATTTGCATCATTCGGTCTGCACGTCATTCTGTCTGAATATCCTTCTTTACCTTTGTCCCTCTCTTCTTGTTTGGTGCTTGTTGCATTCTGTTTGTCTCTACATCCGTTTTTTTGCTTGCTTATTTGTCTTCATTTAGGTCACCGAACCAACTTGTTGCCCATATGTCCGTACATCAATTCGTGTGTCCCTCAGCTGTCTGGTGCACCATCGAGTAGTGATCTCATCGGAGTTTCCATCACCCTCCGAAACTCTTTGGATTGGCTTTCTGTAGTCTGCCAAGCGTGAGGCGCGAATTAGCCGGGTCCTGGGTGGCCCTTCTCAAGCACTCAATGGGCTGTGTTGTTGCGCCAGAGTCGCGCAGTTGCCTGGCCTTAAGTCAGATTACCCTCTGCACAGCATAAGTAGATGCAGTTAAAGACATTTTCTAGAACTCAGTCTGTCGGTCATACATAAGTACAGACATACAGAGCGACAGACAGATGGTGGCATAGTGAGGCCGACTAGCTGACAGACTAATTTCTGGGCCCATAGAGGAACGAGCAGACAAGCGATAGAGAGAATGGAGAGTAGCGCAGACAAAGGCATGGCACATACGGCCAGACAGACTGGGCCACGGAAGCAGAGGAGACAGGTAGAGCGACCCCGGAGACGACTCAGCCAGAGACGCCAAGACTCGGTCGTCAGCAGGCCTCCGCCGACTGGGTCAATAGAGACAAAAGAGTTCGTCCCCCGGCGCAGGCCCGGGTGCTATATGAACTGTCGACCGGAGGCCGGACTCCACTTGCACTCAGTTCGTGAGTAGGTGGCCTTCTCTCCCGGCTCGCTTGTCTGTGAGCGTGTGCGCGCTCCTCCGTGTGCCTCACGTACCAGCGGCGACCCACAACCTCCCGGTTCGCGACAGATAGGCGTCCTAGAGCTTCTGGTACCCGCGTCTTGCCCCACCAGAACGGGACTCGAGAAGGGTCCCATTCTGCTAGACGACCCGAAACAGCACCAGACTCCGCCCTGAGAGTTGCCCTCCTCCTCCCTCCCTCTCTAAAGCCTTGCCCGTCGTTCGTCTCTTCCATCATTTGGGAATTGTGATCTTGCAGGTGCCTTTTAATTCCTCACCAAAGCGTATCATCATTTTTCCCCTACTCAGTTTGCAGATCAGCAAAGGCACACGTACATACGGCTCTGTTTTCAATCTGTTTTAATTTCGTCCGCTTCGCCAAATCAGAACTTTTCGAGAGAGTCCTTCACGCCTTTCATTAGAGTCTACAAGTGGGTGTATTTGTGTGTCTGTCTCATTGTCCGTTCATCCGTACACGAGCAGCAACTCCACGACGTGGACTTTTCGACAATAGAGCCCCTCACAAGTTTCAACTGTGAGCACTGAGACTGACTGGTTCCAAACTAAACCGCCTCTAGAACAGGACATTCGTCCGACCTTGAGAAGCTCGACCCAAGACCCTTCTACAGGCAGCACTGCATCAAAATGACCGTCGGTAAGCTGAAGTCCAAGTTACACTCAAACAACAATAGGAAGGCATCATGTTCCCTTTTCTCCCAGCAGCGAGTCGAATTAGCAT